GAGCAAATAATTTTTCCCCGTCTAATGCATACAGTCATAATTTATAAGATATTTTGAAATTGTTAAGGGCTTTACAAATAGTTCGTTATCTTAGCCTTTCAAAAATTTAGTTTTTATTTTGATAATTGTTAATATCTCAGCGACAATGTTCCATTACCGCGCACTAATTATTACCGAAAAAGCTTCAGCTACAATGGCGCCACATTATGGAAGAGTCTACCATGCGATATAAGGAACACAGAGTCTCTGGGGATATTTAAACGTAAGATGAATGACATTCTTTAAGTCTAACGCACGGCACTCACGGAAAACAGCTTTTAGTGTTATAGTATATAGTTTGAGTTTTAGCGTATGTGATATGTATTTTTTAGGCTGATGAATCGACCGTGTTTAAATTAAAAAAAAATAATAATAAAAACAAAAAAACAATATTTTTCCGAGAATCTTATGTCATTCTAATCCGATGCCCTTTACTACGCGCGCTCATGTATTGTTCCCTATTTAACTCGCGATCGATACCATTTAAGTCGACAAAGTTAAACAACATTAAAACTTTTCGAGGAATTTTTCAGAGGGGGAGAGGACCAGTGTTAAGAACATTCTGGGCCTGGAACCCCATTCAAAGCACCAGCCAAATATTTGTACAGAATATTTGAACAGTCTCTAATGTTAGCCAGACTCGACTGAATACGAGCACTTTTGTGGCTTTTTTTTTCTATTTTGCAATAAGTACCTGTCCATTCATTGATTTCTTAATCTGTTTGTTTTGTTGTGGAAGTCAGATAAGTGCACCATTCAATAATATATATTTTCTGATTTAACAATTTCAAGAGAGTATCAATGTTCAATAAGTAATGCTTTCTTTAGAAGATTGACGTTTGCTTGCAATAATATACATTTATATTCAACCTTATACCTGGTTAATTTTGAACACAGAAATATCTACACTCGACTCAAACCTTCATTATCTAATGCAGTGAAAATGTGAGTTCAAATTTAACCTTATTCAGTTTAATTTTAATAAAGTTGGGATGTAACGTGCGCTGTCATTGGCTGAAGGAGTGTCTTTCATCAGAATACAAAGCACGGAGCGGAACTATAAGTTGTCACGCCATCTGCCAATTTGTACAATGCCCGACCATTTCCCGGACTTCTCGTTAGCTTTTTTTCGTTAATTGAAAAGTCAAATTATTGAACAAGCGGGCCGGCAAGTTGCAACAGAAGAACGAAATAAAGGTTTGAAAACATGCCAAGTGGCGTAATTGATGAAACTGTAACGTGAGCCAAGACGAATATCACCAAAGAGAAAACTAAATAGACTTTCCGAGTTTTGAAGGTTTTGTACACTCAGTTAGACTGTCATTTCAGTAAATGTAGTAATGAAGCTTGTACACAGCGAACACTCGTATGATATATGTAGTTTCGTGTCCGAGAAAGAAAACAGAGCTAAACAGGAATGATGAAAAAAATAAACCAAACTGGCATAATTGTCAAGAATTTATACAAATCACTGTGTAAGAGAAACTGCGATCGTAGCTCATCACGGCGATCTCCGGTCATCACAGTGATGATGTACTGAGTGGAAAGTCACAACAGCCGAGTTTTAGGGACGCTTCCACCCCGAGAAATCTTCATGTTCTTGTGAATTCGGCTGTCGATCATTCATAAAACACACTTCTTGAGCAGTTTGTTTTTCAAGTTTCACGTTAAAAAAACTTGCGTGTTTTCACCAGCCATAACTTGGCCGAATTTACCTGAACATTTCACTTTCACATTTCACACTTTCACACACGAAAATATTTAATTCGAGCTGCAGAATTGTTTGGGTTTGTGAACCGTTGCAGATTGTGAATAGTTTTATTGTGAATTAGCTTTATTCATAACCCTCACAGATTTTGTCGTCATGTCAACAATAATCATACCAAGAACACATAGTGTTTCAGCCAATCAGACGCGCGTAATTTTTCATGTATATCATTATTCCAATAATAGTGTGGGTGTGTTACCAACTAGGAATTCCTTCGTCAATTGCTCACTTCATCTAGCCTTACGATACATTGTTACCTTTTGCTGACCCAAAATGGTCATGTTTTGCCATCGTTAACCCAAAAATACAAGAGAAAACCTGGAAGTTACAGAACGGTGTCAGAGCTATGCAGCTGTAGTTTATTATATTTTTTACAATTCTATCAGTAAGCTGTTGAAAGCATTGATTCAGGTTGTAATCTGGAAATAAATAGACGAGGCAGTTAACTAACTGCATTTCAATCTAATGAAGCTGTCTAGTTCATAGTTAAACAAATTATTTGCTCAATTGCATCCGGAAAACAGCAAAACTGCGACAACCTAACTAATTGCTTGATTTATTTGTCTGACAGAGGTAATTTTGTCTGACAAACTCGGAGGAGAGGAAGAAATCGAAATAGAAATAAAAAAAATAAGGCTGACAGAGAGAGTACGGGCATAGAACTTGTTATGCGGAAAGGCGCAATTTAGCTGT